AGTATGAGATTTTAGATTAATGCGGTTGGATTTTCAGTTTATTGCTTTGGGAGATAAATATTTTTTTGGTGCCGATTTTGTTGACTCTTAAGTTTATGAACTTAGAACTCTCCCAAATGAAGACAAAGAACTTACTTTTATTTCTTTAATTTTTTTCTTGATAAAAATAAGGATTACAATAGCCCTTTATATAGGCTTAAAAAACAAAACGTATAGGCATACCAATAGTCACAAATTAAACTCCTATTTTAATATCATAAAGATAAAACATCATAAAGGAGTGAGAAACTCTTATTCTTCCATAACCTATGTCTCTTCCCCTTCTAAACTTATGACCCCTGCACTTCTAAAACTCATACTATTAACCTCATTTATTCTAACATTTTAATTTGATATTCCAACACGCTCCTTCAAATCAAAATGTCTTTATGCCAAGCATGTCTCTTAGCCCATTTTAATTTGATATTCCAACACGCTCCTTCAAATCAAAATGTCTTTATGCCAAGCATGTCTCTTAGCCTCATGAAAGTTTCACCTGATAATGGCTATCAAAATGTCTTTATGCCAAGCATGTCTCTTAGCCTCATGAAAGTTTCACCTGATAATGGCTTGGTGAGTATTCAGTTCAACGGTTTTCTACTTTACATGGTCTCCGAGAAAATAAAATTACGTATCTATGTGTTTGCTCCTCTCCCATGATGTACTGGGTTCTTTGCAAGCTGGATGGCTGATTTGTTGTTCACAAAAATTATGATCGAGTCTTCTTGTGGATGATCTAATTCCTTTAATATGTTTTGCAACCAAATTGCTTCACATACTATAGATGCAGCCGCCACATACTCTACTTCACATGAAGATAAGGCCACAACTCCTTGCTTCTTTGAGGTCCATGAAAATACAGTTGACCCAAGATAGAAGACATAACCTATGGTGTTTTTCCTCTCATATTGGTCACCTCCCCAGTCACTATCTGAGTAACCAACTAGTTGTGTATTTTCATCATATGCATAGAAGAGACCATATTGAATGTGCCTTTAATATACCTTAGTATCCTCTTCGCAGCTAGCAAGTGAGACTCCTTCGGTGTCTTCATGTAGCGACTCACAAGTCCGACTCCATAAGTAATATCGGGCCTTGTGATCGTCAAGTATCCCAGGCTGCCAACTAGACTTTTGAAAAGAGTTGAATCCACGAAACGTCCGTCTCCTTCTCTTGAGGGCTTCATTCTGATGTCTACTGGGGTTCAAAGGGTTGCATTCATTCATCTTGAACTTCTCTAAGATCTTCTTCATGTAATTCTTCTGGGATATAAAAATCCCCTCTTGCTGCTGCTTGATCTTGTACACCCACTTGACCCCTATTGCCTTGTGATTTTGTGGAAGTGTTGTCAACTCCCAAGTGTCATTCTTTTGAATGGCGTGGATCTCCTCCTCCATTGCTGTTCGCCAACAATCTTCTTTTACAGCTTCTTAGAAGGTGTGAGGTTCATGATCAGCATATAAGTAGAAGAGATTTGACTCTCCGTCTTCTTCTATCTGCTTATAGATCTCCCTAAGGCCTCTTATTTTGATGGGACCTCGTTGCAGCATAGATCCGCTGCTACTACCTTCCCCAGAAGATGGAGAACCTCTTGCAGAAGAGGGTGTAGAATGTGGAGGAGATGGTGGTATAGCTGGTGATGGTTCCTCATGTAGAGACTCGTCAGGTTCATTCACCACGGGTTGATCTTTGGTAGTCTCTTCATTGCTCCAGTTCCATGCTTCTTCTTCATTGAATACAACGTCTCTACTAACAACTAGTTTCTTGATTGGTGGATTGTAGTGCTTGTATGCCTTCAACTCCTTGCTATATCCGATGAAAATACATTTTTCATCGCGATTGTCAATGTTCTTCCTTTTGATTTCAGGTACTTGAGCATATGCAACACACCCAAAAATTCGTAGGTGTGCCACACTTGGCGTGTAGCCGCTCCATGCCTCTTGAGGTGTCTTGTTCTTCATTATCTTTGTGGGGCATCGGTTGAGCAAATAAGCTGAGCACGCCACGGCTTCTGCCCAGAACTGCTTTGACAATCTCTTTTCTTTGAGCATGGTTCTTGTCATATCGAGGATGGTCCGGTTCTTTATTTCTGCAATGCTATTTTGCTGTGATGTGTAGGCAGTAGTAAACTATAGGCAGTAGTAAACTATCTCTTTATACCTTGTTTCCTACAATATTCTTGAAATAGATTTGAGGTGTACTCACCACCTCGGTCAGATCGAAGAATTTTTAGCTTGTAGACGCTCTCTGCTTCAACTAAAACTTTAAAATGCTTGAATGTAGTAAATGCATCAGATTTTTCTTTAAGAGTGTACACCCACAACTTTCTACTGAAGTCATCAATAAAGGTTATAAAATATCTATTACCTCCCAAAGAGACGGGATCGATCGGTCCACAGATGTCGGTGTGAATAAGTTGCAATGGTGCCTTTGCTCTCCATGATTCTCCACTGGGAAACGAAAGTCGTGATTGCTTGCCAATTACACAACCTTCACAAATATGATTCGGTGGATCGATTGTTGGTAGACCTCGTACCATGCTAGGTGTAGACAGTAACTTCAGGCCGCTGAAGTTTAGATGGCCGAAGCGAAGATGCCACCTCCATAAAAACACTTGTCGACTTTCGTGTTTAGATGTAAGGGAAACATGCAGTTCCTTGTCATCTTAACACATGCTATGAGGTCTCCATTTGCATTTTTCAACCAAAGATGGTTGTTCTCCATATATACTTTGTATCCCTTTCTGAGTAATTGACCGATGCTAAGAATATTACTTTTCATGTTAGGAATATAGTAACCATCGAAAATATACTCGGGCTTACCATCCTTTTGGTAGATTTTAATCTTCCCTTTGCCTTCAACTGTGAGTTTTGAAGAATCTCCAAGGCTCACACTTCCATGAACTCCTTCTGCGAGTTCCATGAAAAGCTCTTTCTTCCCGCACATGTGGTTTCTAGCACCCGAGTCAAGGTACCAAACATCATTCTCAACACTTGAATCATCATTAGCAAGAAGAAGTGTAGAGTTGTTACCCACATTATTTGTTGCTTCGGCAAGATTGGTTTGGTCTTCAGTTTTGTGCTAACAATCTGAAGCATAGTGCGCAAACTTGTGACAATTATAGCACCGAACATACTTGTTGTTTTCACACCCAGGTGTGGATCTTCCACGATTGCTTCGTCCTCATCCTCTAAAGATTTGGGTCTCCACTTGATTTTGAGTGGTTTGCTGTTGGGGACCACATCCCCTGCCTCTACCACGACCACGACCACGACCTTTACCTTGGGAGCCTTGATTACTTAGAGTCAATGTTGACTCTAGTACTTGTTCTAAAACTATGAAACTAGCAGTCTTTTACATTCGTTGTTCATGAACTTGAGAGATCCCAAAAGCTTCTCTATTGAGATCTCCTCCAAATTTTTTGACTCCTCAATTGCTGCCACCACGTGCTCGAATTTTGGTATGAGGGATCAGAACAACTTTTCCATCACTCGGATGTCCTCCATCTTCTCTCAATTTCTCCTCATTTTATTCACAATTAGAAATAATCATGAATGATGATCAGAGATTTTTTCTTCATCTTTCATTTGAGCGGCTTCAAGATCACCCCTCAAAGTTTGGAGGCGAATTCGCTTCACCCGCTCGACACCTTTGTAGATGGTAGCAAGGATTTCCCGTGCTTTCCTGCTCGTTGTTGCTTCGGCAACTCTCTCAAAGGTAGACTCGTCCAACCCTTGATAGAGTAGAAAACGAGCATTGTCATCCTTCTTTCTTTGCTCTCTAAGAGTCTTCTTCTCTTCGGCGGTGTAGGTGGCTTCTACTTCTGGTGTAGGTTTCGTGAACCCATCAATGATCAGCTCCCACAACTCTTGAGAACCAAATAAGGCTCTCATTTGGATTGACCAACTCTCATAATTATCTTTCGATAATTTGGGCACTTGAGGATTGACAAGATTATTTGTGGTAGCCATGAGAAGAAGAGAGAATGAGAAAATTGGATCAAGTGGCTATGATACCACTGTTGACTCTTAAGTTTACGAACTTAAAACTCTCTCAAATGAAGACAAAGACCTTACTTTTATTTCTTTAATTTTTTTCTTGATGAAAACAAGGATTACAATAGCCCTTTATATAGGCTTAAAAAACAAAACGTATAAGCATACTAATAGTCACAAATTAAACTCCTATTTTAATATCATAGTGAGTAACTCTTATTCTTCCATAACCTATGTCTCTTCCCCTTCTAAACTTATGATCCTTGCACTTCTAAAACTCATGCTAATAACCTTATTTATTCTAACATTTTAATTTGATATTCCAACATTTGGATTGAAAATTGATGGCTTTTAGAATATACGTATTTTTGGTGATAGCATTTGATTTGGATGAGTTCTCTACGATAGATCCTTAATCTTTTTTCGCCCTTCTTTTTGTTTTGTTTTGTCTTGTCTTGTTTTGTTTATTGTGTGAAAAGATAGATTCTTATCTTATTGAAAAGATAGATTCTTATCTTATTGCTTCTAACTTTCTTATGATTCAAGCTTACATTGTAATTTATATTCTTTCTTTATTTTTAGAATGATATTAAGCACTATTCTTGTAGTACGTTCATACTATAAGAGAGATAATTGTGGCATCCTCAATGAGCCATCAAAATTTAAAAAAAATGACAAAAATGACCTCCACAAAATTTTTGGATGGTATCAAAAAATTTACATTCTGAGCGTCACTGGGATCTTAAGAATCCCGTGAACAAAAAAAGTATGCTTACTTAACAATCCTTCCGTTTTTATAAAGGAATAACTAGATACTCACATTGAATATTTCCTAGAAGGTCAAATTCAGTGTCGCATGTGTTTGGCCTTTATGAGACGGTGAAAGTGTATACGGTGCCTCAAAGCTAATGTGTGAGATGATACACAATTTAAACTTAATCATAATCATTTGTGAGGAGAACTGACCTCGACGGTCCCGACGACGGCGATCGTCGGAGGCGGAGGCAGCGGACGGCGATGGCATCGAGGGCTCGCCAGAACGTGGAGGCAAGGAAGCTCAGGCGAGGGTTTGAAGGCGTCGGAGCTCGCCTGTGGAGGTCGCCTGCGGGCGTGTCTGGCGAGGGCTTGAAGGCGAGATCGAGGTCGCCTGCTCGCGTGCGTAGAAGCTCGCCTGTTGGAATGTCGCCTGAAGCCCTTGATTTCGCCTGTTTGAGTGTGAGCGGGCCTTGGGATTTCTCCCATCTTCAGCGAATTTCAATAGAGAAAAAATTCTCTCTGTGGCGACGCTTTAACTCCAGCGAAAAATTCTCAGGAGTAATTGAGAATCAATTTTTCGGTCAAGAA